TACATCGTTTTTATATAAAGGACACTTGTGAGAGATGGTGGTTAGATATGCCAAGGACAATTATTTTCAATGGTGCCTACACTGTAAAAAAAATTACTTTTAACTCCTTGTTTTAATTTTAAAAAAAATGTTTCTGTTTAAAACTTTCATCTGCTATATAACTGAAATTCGGTTAGAATTTATATCTGAGAAAAAAAGTCTGGAAATAGTTTTTGAAATAAACAATAATGTTATGGATTAAATAAATATTTTTATAAATGTAAAAGCAGCAAAAGTTGTAAATACAGTTGATCTGAAGCTTTACAAAATAACTGCATCACAGAAACAAATTGTAGTGCTCCTTTAGCTTCTGTAGTTGTTAGTCTTGTAAATCTGTTTATAGATGAAGCTTATTTCAATGTTTTGGGGCGTTTTAAATGGTTTAAAAATAAATATTTAAGTTCTGTAAACTTTCATGAGCTTGTTCCGTTGTGCGTTTTATTCTGGATTTTAGTAGACGTGCAGAGGTGCGGATATACCTCTTAAAACTTGTGTTGTAGTTCAAGAAAAGTATTCCTTGCGCAGAGTTGCATGGTTGCTTTGAAAGGGTTTGGGTTCCCCCCGCGCTGTTCTTGTCCGGAGGACACCTGCCAGCGGCTGGCACGCAGGGCCCCCCGGCGCTGTTCTTGCCGGGGGGCCCCCTGCCAGCGGCTGCACCGCAGGGAATGCTGTGGACAGATGGAGCAGCCCCAGGGTTCGGTTAGATTCCATTCGGAAAGAGGAGTCTTCAGGATCTGTGTGCTCAGACGGATGTGCACGGCCCATGACACCATGAGATGTCAGAACACTCTGACTTCGTTGTGATCTCGGCGTTGTGGAGTGAAGGTACAAAAAAGCCTGCGCCACAGTTACCTTAGCTTTCACTTCATCAGCCTTGACCCAAATCTCATTTTAAAGAGCTCCATACAAATTTCCCAGAATTAAAAACATGTTTTTACTTCCATGTCGCTTCCCGTAAGGTGTTCTTTTTGTGTGGGAGACCGAGGGGAGAGGTGATGGGAATCCCTCCCAAATTTTGTAACTGGTGGCTCTACCCTGTAGACACAGGGTCTTTAGTCTATGCAACTCTATAAATTATTCTGGGTAGTAGCATTAGTGAATTATTTGGGAAATTGGAACCTGTCCTGTTTGTGATACGACTGTAACAAGTTGCTGAACTGTGGTGCCTCTTCTTTTCCAGTGAAATGGGTGGGATGTATACCTACCTCAGAGGACCAGGGTGGGGAAAAACTCATCCCTGCGTGTACAATACAGCCTTGTTCTCTTGAAATCCATTCAAGAAGGTTTTTTTTACTGTACTGCATACGGCTGTTCTGCACCTAAAGCCTCTGTGCGTCGTAAGACTATAACGCTAAAGAATGGATGTCTGTATTACTGGTTCCCAGAGAACAGTTGTCTTTTTCCCCACCATGTGTTAGTTATTGATGAACTGTGTAACTTAATCAGCAGTATTCTGTTGCTGTCAGCTAATGGAAAGATACATAAAAATATTCATGCAGGAACTGTCTTCTTGCTTGTTTGATTTGTTAGGCTTCCCACTGTAGACGGGGAAGAATTTATATTAAAGTAGTCTGAATCGCAGAATAGAGCAATGTATTTGTTTTTGGGTAGATGAGTCCTTTATCGGCGTAACCAGTCGTAAAACCCTTGGTCTCTGACTCCTCGAGTGCGCTGCTGTACAGTGAGCGTGTGGTACCGTGGGCACCTGTTCTTGCCTTCGGCTGAACGTCTGTCGCTGCATAGGGGAGTACATCGGTTCTTCATGTGTTTGCACAAAGTTTAGCAATCGTTAAAAGGTCTGATTTTTATCACACTGTTTTATGACTTAACACTGGAATAAAATTATTTTCCTCTTTGCAACGTTTTAGTGGTATGTATGTTGGCTTGCCTAATTTCACATTTTTCCAGTAAATGAAGTAACACTTAATACAGAGATGAGGTAAATACACTGAAACCTGTCTTGGTGCTTCTCTAAACTGAAGTTCTTTGTACACCGTGTACACTCTGCTTCTTTTTGTTTCCTAACATACACACTTGTGCCTAAAAAGTTGCTGAACCTCATGTATCTGAATTTCAAGATTAACTTTATCTACAAGTGGTATATTTTATATGAATGCCAGTTGCTTCAGTCTGAATGCGTTGACACTAATGCTGCTGTGCCTCCTCCCCCTTTAACAATCCTCGCTTGCCTAAGGGCTATACACGTTTGCACTTTACAGGTACTGCTGTCCATCTTTCACTGGCAGCAGCCCCGATCCTTCCATCTCCTCTCTCTGTCCTTCCCTAGTGAAGCACAGTCACTGAGAGAACTGTTCTTACCTCTTTTGGGTGAATAGGGCTGAGCAGGGACCCTGGGAAAGGGCTTACTCAAGGGCTATTGCAGTTGTTCTTCGTGTGTCAGCCACTGCTTATGGGGATTGTTCCTTTATTGCAGTCAGTCCCAAGGAAGCTGGCTTACCCGATGAATTGAGCTTGAAGATGTTCATTTCTGTCACGTAGGAGCTGCTTTGTTCCTCTGCTATTGCTGACCATCGCGTAGGATGTGCTGGGGCACGGTGCGCATGCTGTGCCGCAGTGCTCCCCAGTCAATGGAAAAATACAAAAACAGTTCCCAGGTTCCTGTTTCTCCCTCTCAGGGCCATTTTCCCAGCATACTCGTGAAGGCCAGAGCTGGCAGCTCCTGGAGATGGGGCAGGGTGGCTGTGCATCCCGCGGGGTGGGACTGTGTGTCTGTTCAGGGACATGCTCAAGGTACCGCTGGCCTGGGCGAGCCTCTGCCTGTGTCTCCACATGCTTCCAGGAGCTAACACTGGTTGGAGGCTTGCTTCTGTGCTTGCGGTGTAACCCTTGAAGGAGCGATCTCCGAGGGCTGTGTGTGCAGTCTGTATTTGAAACATTGCTGCTTTTTTCCCCCTCTACCAAATCTCACGCGTGTAGACTGCCGTACCCAAATGCTGTATTGAGTGGTGGTTCTTGCTCTTTCCAAGGTGCAGAACTTTGGGAAAGGGAAGAAACAACTCTCTCTGACCACAAAGATTGTGTGTGTCCCCCCCCCTTTTTTTTTTACAGAACATGTGCTAGAGCAGCGTGTGGTTCCCCATAGTTCATAGCTTCGGCACAGGGTAACCAGGTGCAAAAGCAAACCTTACCCTGTGCTCTCTTGTTGGTCCAGTGCATTTCTTTGGGCAGCCAACCTAGAACGTGGCAGTTTTTTCATCAGTGTTCAGGGATCTCACTGAGTCTCCCCAGCTGCTGAGGCGGTGAAGGCATGGAGGGAGCCAGCAAGCAGCTGCAGAGAGGGAAACCAGCTCAGTGGAGTGAGGAGGACTGCCTGGGAGCTGGGAGGCACAGGGGAAGGGGGCTGGGGGTGCCTGCAGGGCTGGGCATGCAGATTCGACAGGGCAGAAGGAGGAACCCAAAGCTCTGACGTGAATAACTGGTTTTTATTGTCCAGCTTCTAAAACAAAGTACAGCGATGCAAAGGGTGAGCAGTACCCATCTTTTTACATTTTGGCCTATTTTCTGTCTTTGCCCCAGATTCCTTGTTTCTGAAATCCATTCTATCAGGTCGCAGTAGTTCCCAGCCGTGGGTTTACGGGGCTGTCCTGCTCCATACAGTCATTTCCTACAGTCTTACAGGGTGCTTAAAGTAGCAAGATCCTCCCTGAAAATCCTACAGAGGTGTCATCATTCTCCCGTTTTCTGTGTAGATTCCGTGTAGGTTTAGGGTAATAATAGGTTTTTGTAATAAAAGTACTTCCACGAAGTCTTTTTATACCTTTTCCCTTCAAGACAGCAACGGAGAAATTGGGAATCCCACCCCTGCTGCCTCCCCATGCATGGTGGGCAGCCCCATCTCCTGCTCCTTCTTCCTAACTACAAACAGCCCTGGTAAAAATACCGCCACGCTCGTCTAGCAAACAGGAAAGTTTCGAAGCACCATGGTTACAGGAGACTTCTGACACCAAGGGTGAGCACCAGCTGCCCCTTTCTTTCCTACCTTCTCCTGAGATCTTTTCCCCCATGCTGTTTAACTGAGGCCTGACTTGGGGTGAGGGGGGGACGGACGGGACAAGGACCCCCTTACATGCCTCCCTCCTACAGATTTAAGCAGGGGCCCTGAGGTGCCGGGGCTGCAGAGCTGCTGCCAGAAAATGACAGCTAACGGACCTAAGAAAAGCAGAGCTATACAGTATCGTTCATCAGCCCCCTTCCTAGAGCCCACTGTTGGATGCTGTCAGAGGATTTGCAAGCACCGATGTTTCTTGGGGAAGTATAATGCTGTAAACGGGCTGGGGAGAAGGCAGAGCTGTTTGATTCCTCTGTGGCTCCAAGCATGGTGAGGAGCACCCTACACGTGCAGCCCTGTGCTCAAGGGCCAGACGCTCCCCACAGCGTGGGAGGGAGGAGAGGCAGGATGGAGGAGACGAGCTCCGTGCTGGGGCATTGGCTGTGTCTGCGGGGCATCAGCGCCTGGAGCAGCCTCCCCTGGCCATCCTGCTCCTCTCCAAATGGCCTTCAAACACCATGTCCACCAGTGTGCTGCCCTGCAGCTGTGACACAGCTGTTTAACCTCTTCTGCGAGATGTCGCTTGTATTTTTCTCCCTGTCTCCAATGACAGCTCCAGGGGCTGAGCTCCAAGCATGGCCAGTACCTGCTCGGCTGGAGAGGACGCAAGGTCTTTGCAGGGCTTTAGGACATCGTTGGCCCCTCTGCCTTGAGCCGGACAACCTGTGTGGTGGCAGAGACACTCCAGCTTCCAAGCATGGGCAGAGGATGGGTATTCCTGAATGCTCCCCTGTTGTCCATCAACACATTCTCTACAGCTAAGAGCACTCGCACAACACAAGCCCGTCAATGTTTCGCAAGAGGTAAGCAGCACTGCAAGTAACTCTGTCACCCTTCTGCAGCTCCGAGTCAGCGTCAGCCACCTCTGCTCCCTCCAGCCGGCGTCAGGCACCTAGGTGAAATACCTGGAGGCCCCCCTGGAAGTCCTCTCTTCAGCAGCCCTGGTGGCGAAGGCCACCTCCTCATCCTCCTCATCCAGCTGGAGGCTGCCGGAGGACACCCGCACCCTGGCCATGGGCGACCGCAGCGCCCGGCCGTACATGGAGCAGTAGTCGGTGGCCAGGAGGTCAGAGTCGGAGTCGCTGGACTCAGTGCTGCTGCCCACGTAGCGCTCGGCCGAGCGCCGCAGCCCCGGCGCCAGCGCTTGCTGGGCTGGCACGTGCCAGCAGACGCCTGCTTTCCGGCTGCTCAGTGCAGGGCACGGTCCCAGGGGCCTGAACTCGGAGCCGTAGGGGAAGCGGATGGTTTTCATGTCCGACTGGCTCCAAGACCGCTTGGGAGGCTGCTCCTGAAGGCCATAGTTGAAGGAGTGAACCAGCGACCTGCTCTCCTCTGCCGGGGCCGTGCTCGTGTCCACTGCCACGCACGCAGCCTGACGATGAAACTCCCCAGCCTGCGTCCCACTCGGGCTCTGCCTGGGGGGTTTTGCTGTCATGGGGCCACATCCACCGACTGGTTCTGCTGCATCCTCGACGGGTGCTGGTGCTTGGCACGGGGGCTGCGGGGGCCTGTCCAGGTAGAAGAGGACCTGTGGGGCCGGGGCGGCCATGGGTGCGGGGCATGGCACATCTGTGTACACCAGCGGCCGGGAGCTCACCTCCCGCATGTTGCCCACTGAGGTGCTTTTACTGTTCCCAGCAAACTGGTGGTGGGGCCGAAAGGATGTCAAGGGGTTCCTGGCACCAAAGAGGTCGGCAGGCTCCCATGCCCGCTCCAGCTCCAGCTCGGCATAGACCAAGGGGAAGGCGGACGAGCTTTTGGAGTGGGGCAGGAAGGCAGGGGATGCTTCGGGCTTGGAGCGCTCCAGCTCAGCGGCAAACGTCACCTCCATGGTGGAGCTCCGGCGGCAGCTGTCCAGCATGGGCTCAGAGGCGTGCACCCCGTTGGCATGGTAGGAGCTCCGGCTGCCCGACGGGGGGGGCCGCCCCCCCACCACTGGAGAAGGGGGGTGGGAGCCCACAGGTGGGTCCCCAGAGCCCGGTCAGGCCGGCAGTGAGCTCCCCAAGCCAAAGCTCAGGCTTGGACTCCAGCTGAGCTCTGCCAGCTGGGGCTGCAATGCCAAGACACCCCACCGCAGCCCCGGCCGCTGCCTCTTGCTGATGCTGGGGGAACATACCTGCTTGGAGACGTCCGTCAGGAGGTCTGGGGAGGAGCGGCACTGCCTCTCGTCGTAACGGGACGCGTAGTGTTTCCTGAAAGGCCAAGAGCATGGGTGATGTGTGCGGCCAGGAGGGTCCTGTTCCCCCCTTTCCTGGGCATGGTGCCCCTCCGTGCCCCCCGGTACCTCTCGAAGGGCAGGCTCTTCATCTTCGCCTTCCTCCCATGCTCCAGCAGCTGCCTCTGCGTCCTCCCACTGCAGCAAGCGGGGAAAGGCGTGAGCAGCACCATCAGCCCCAGCCCTGGGCATCCCCACGTCCCGGGGAAGGCGAGGGGATACAGCAGGACCGAAGCAGTGGCTCCTCTGGGAAAAGCAGCTGTTGGGCACCATCCCCTCACATCCAGCCGGATCAGACACAAACAGGAGGATCAGAGCCACCCCCGTGCCCTTCCCAGTCCCTGGGACTTTACCTGTATCGGAAACTGGAGCCCTTACTGCACAGAAGGGCTTTGGGCTTTGACTTGGGCTCTTCAGACAGCCTGAAGAAGGCATGGTACTCCACGCACGTCTTCCAGAAAGCCTTGCAGGCGTCCCGGCTCGCCATAGTGAACTCCAGCGTGTCCTTGCACAGCGCCTGCGCGGCCGGAGACAAGGGAGCCGGCGTCAGCGGCGCGGGGCCCGGCGCTGCGTGT